CCCTAAATACCCTAAACCTCAAACCCTAAACCCGAAACCCTAAACCCTAAACCCCAAACCCTAAACCTTATACCCTAAACCCAAAGCCCTGAAACCCTGAACCCCAGACCCTACAGCCCTACACCGGGCGCAGCCGACGGAGAGTTTGGGAACTGGAAGGCCTAGGGTGTGGGGTTTAGGGTTTAAGGTTTAGGGTTTAGGGGTTTAGGGTTTAGGGTTTAGGGTTGAATGAGGCATTGAACGCAGTAACCGCCCTAAACCCCAAACCCAAAACCCTCAACCCTAAACCCTCAACCCTAAACCCTGAACCCAAAACCCTAAATCCTAAACCCTGAACCCTGAACCCTAAACCCAAAAACCCCGTGGGTTTTGGGACCAGGCTTTTTGGGGGGGTTCGGTGTCCGGTGCACACATCCAGAGACTCCACCTTGCTGGAGGGGCTTTGGAGTCACGAGGCACGCGAGAACCCTAGGGTTTAGGGTTTAGGGTTTAGGGTTTAGGGTTTAGGGTTTAGGGTTTAGGGAAACCCTAAACCCTGAACCGAAAAAGCCTGAACCCTAAACCCTAAACCCTAAACCGCGCGTTGTATTGCCAAGTTTGGTTTGCGCAGAAACGAACGTTGTCACTGCGGTCGGAATGCCAACTCCAAACCCTGACAAATAGGGCTTTAGATTTCCGGTCTAGGGTTTTGGATTTAGGGTTTTGGGTAAAAGGGTTTGGGGTTTAGGGTAGTGTAGGGGCAAAACCACCCAAAAGCTCCTCAAACCCCGAAACCCTAAACTGTCTAAATCCTGAAGCCCGGAACCCCAACCCCCCAAATGCCCAAAACAAAGACATGATTAAACCACCAAAGGCTCTGAGTACCGGACACGAGCGCCGCGGGCAAAGGCTTCGCAAACTGCTGCTGCAGTTGCTGCTGCCTGCAAGAGAGACTCTGGGTTCTTACGGATTAGGGTTTAGGGTTTGGTGTTTACGGTTTACGGTTTAAGGTTTAGGGCTTGCGGTTTAGGGTTGAGGGTTTGTCGGTTCAGGGGTTGGGGTTTAGGGTTTGGGGTTTGAGGTTTAGGGTTTAGGGCTTCGGGTTTGGGTTTTGGGTTTAGGGTTGAGGGTTCCCTTGCAGCTTAGAGCTTAGAGGAGGATAGTGTCATTCAGGGCCCTAAACCCAAAGCAACCCTAAACCCTAAACCCTAAACCCTAAGCCGCCTCACGTTTCAGCCTCGGGACCTGACAGGACATGGGTTCAGGGTTTAGGGTTTAGAGATTTAGGGTTTATGGTTTAGGGTCACGGTTTGGAGCATATCATGGTATACTTCTAAGAAGAAACATGAAGGAATAATATTGGGCTTAAATTCAGGCTTCTGTGCTACTATGATGAGTTTCAGGGTTTGGTAAACCCAATTTGGGCTTTAGAGTCTTGCGCCCTTGCAGGAGAAGATGCTGCACCTTGAAATGGGCTGTGAGGAACGCTAGTTAGTGGTAGTTTTGGGGTCCACAAGACTGCAACACCACTCTGCGGACGAACGCTCTAGTACACAATGAGATTTTGCTTTGCAGTGGGTCACTTGTGAACTGCAGCGGGTCTCTTGCGAACTGGGGGCACCATCGCCTGGGCTTTGGCCGTGGCTTTGGCCTTTGCCTTGGCCTTTGCCTTGGCCTTTGCCTTGGTTTTCGCCTTGGCCTTCGCCTTGGTCTTCGCCTTGGCCTTCGCCTTGGGCTTTGACTTGGGCTTTGCCCTAGCCTTTGCCCTCTTGTTTTGCCAAGCACCCCAGGTGACGACGGATCCATCACCAAGAATGGCAGCAAAACCCCCGTGAGTGGCCTGGATCTGTTGCACAAGCTTCAGCTGGTGCTGCACCAAACTACTGTCACCACCACCCAGGCATCCCCAGGTGACGACCGATCCATCCCCAAGGATGGCAGCAAAAGCGTCATCGCTGGCTTGGATCTGCTGCACATTCTTCAGCTGATCCTGCACAGGACTGCTGTCGCCACCCCAGTAAAAATCACCCCAGGTCACGACGGAGCCATCGCCCAGAATGGCAGCAAAAGCAGTTTGAGTAGCTTGGATCTGCTGCACATTCTTCAGCTGACCCTGAACACTGCTGCTGTCACCACCAGCGGCAGGGTCACCCCAGGTCACGACACATCCGTCACGAAGAATAGCAGCAAAAGCCGCGATACTGGATTGGATCTGCTGCACATCCTTCAGCTGATCCTGCACGGCTCTACTGTCACCACCAGAGTCAGCAGCACCCCAGGTGACGACGGATCCATCACCAAGAATGGCAGCAAAAGCGTCGTCATTTGTCTGGATCTGTTGCACATTCTTCAGCTGGTGCTGCACCGAACTACTGTCACCACCACGGAAAGGATCGCCCCAGGTGGCGACGGATCCGTCGCCAAGGATGGCAGCAAAAGCGTAATCGTTGGCTTGGATCTGCTGCACATTCTTCAGCTGACCCTGAACACTGCTGCTGTCACCACCAGCGGCAGGGTCACCCCAGGTCACGACGGATCCATCGCCAAGAATGGCAGCAAAAGCGTCGCCGGTGGCTTGTATCTGCTGCACATTAGTCAGCTTACCCTGGCTGGCTCTACTGTCACCACTCTCCTTAACTAGACCCCAGGTGACGACAGATCCATCGCCAAGAATGGCAGCAAAAGCGTCGTGAATGGCTTGGATCTGTTTGACATTCTTCAGCTGGTGCTGCACCGAACTACTGTCACCACCACGGTGAGGATCGCCCCAGGTGGCGACGGATCCGTCGCCAAGGATTGCAGCAACAGCGCAACAATTGGTTTGAATCTGCTGCACATTCTTCAGCTGGTCCTCTGCAACACCAAATTCACCATGGTGGTACATGTGGTCAGTATTACCCCTCATCGCAATCGATCCATCGCCAAGAATCGCAACAAAAGAGGATCTATCGAATCCAACGGCTTGGACTTCAACTCTGCCTACCTGCAAGACCAGTGAGTCACCATCCTGCAGGCGGGCGCTCTTGATCGGCGAACATAGATCCAGAATGCCTCCAGATGAGTCCAGTAGCTTCCCTTTCCCCACTTCGAGCGCCGCCTCTGCGCGACGTTTAAGGCTCCCCACTTGTTCATCCAAGTAGGCTGTCACAGTAGCTGTCCTGCCACTGAGCAATCCCACTCGCACGTTAATCGACATAATGCACGGCGGCAACTAACCCTAAACCCTAAACCCTAAACTGCACAAAGGTTAAACACAGGATGCGGGTTGTGGGGCATCTTACTTTTCGGGTGCAACATGGTTGTATGCCCTAAACCCTGAACATTAAACCCTTAGACCCATAAGGTGGCAGTTGACAGGAAGTGCCTGAGTGAGTGAGGTTGCATGCACGGCTCATCGCTTGAGCAGTAAAGGCACTGGCTTGGACTCCAACAATGCTTCCGTCGTGCAGTTAAAAGCCTTCATTTCGAGCTCAGCCATGCTTGAATATGTCCTTAGCAAACTAGTTCGGGATACATCGCAAAACTTACACCTTCAAACCCTCAACCCTAAACCCTGAATCCTGAACCCCTAAACCCTAAAGCCCTAACCTCATCTAACCCCTAAGTCCTGCAAAGGTTGTCGTGAATTGGGGTTGCGGCTTGCAGGGTCGGAGCTCATTCTTAGTGCTCTAGGCCCTAGGCCTAGGCCCCGAGCCCACAAATTATTTAGGGTTCAGGTCATCAGGAGTTTAGGGTTTAGGGTTTCAGGGTTCCTTTGAAGGGTTCTTTTAAGGCATCTATAAGGGATCTATAGGGTTCAGGTGTTCAACAGTTTAGGGTTTCAGGGCTTAGGGGGTTAAGGGTTAAAGGGTTAAGGGTTTCAGGGTTCAGGGGTTTAGGGCTTAGGGGGTTGAGGGTTTAGGGTTTAAGGGTTAAGGGTTTCAGGGCTCAGGGGGGGTTTAGGGCTTAGGGGGTTTAGGGTTTAGGGCGACTATCAACATTACTAATGAACCATAGCCATAAACGGCATGGTTCCATGGGAGCCTGACAGTCTACTAAGTGCCCTAAGACAGTACTGAGCTGCTTACTTTTGACGGCAGTCCTAAGCCTAGTTTTCAGAATTTAGGGTTGAGGGTTTTGGGTTCAGGGTTGAGGGTTTAAATGTAGTAGGGCTTAGGGTTTAGATGCAAGCCGGCCTTCTCTTCCGTGCTTTCTCCACCAGGAACAGGAGAACCTGGTAAGGTTCGACGCTACAAAGGAAACTGTTGCCAAACAAAGAGTACCCTACAACCTAAGACCCCGAAACCCTGAAAGCCGAAACCAAGAAACTCCAAACCCAAAGCCCAAAACCCTCAACCCAAGATTACGCCTCTGACCGGTCCCATCATCTGCGGTACTGAGGCATTCCGCGCTCCACTAATAAAGGAAAACGAATGAACCGAAGGTTGCAGGAGTGAAATTAACTGCAATGAAACTACGGCTTTAGGGGGACTGAAACGCTGGAGCATGTGGATTTGGCAAGCCCCGAACCTTAATACTTAAACCACAGACCCTAAACGCTATTGCCGATAATTCATGCTCCTATCGTAAACTCTCTACTGATAAAGAAGGCTCCAGAAAATTTCTTTGCTGATCTAGGGACAAAAGGGTACATGTAGGGCCTTACGAATTAGAACTAGGTTTTGGATATGTTCTACTATAGCCCTAATCAAGGACCCCAAGGGCAATAATATGCTATAGCTACCTGGCTACCTAGACCCTAAACCCTCCTGCAAGCCTATGAGACTCCTCCTGAGAATAAGATTCTACTAGATCTTAGGGTTTGGAGTTTAGGGGTTTAGGGTTTAGGATTGTGTATTATACTAGAAACCCTCATGTGGTGTTGCTATACCTATACAGAGGAAACCTCAGAATTCGATAATGTAGGGGATTTTGGGTGGTTCCTTACTTTAATTATAGTATAGTATACCCCAGAACCCTATTCGAATTATTAAGGCCCCCAAGCCGTATAGAACCCGTTAAGGAACCCTTTAAAGGAACCCCCCAAAGCCCTATTCTAACTATGAAGGCCCCTGTATTATCTTACGGCTCTGGGTCGAGAGTCCAAGGTTCGAAAAATCGAGCTCACTGCACAAGCGTCTGAAAGTCTGTCTGGTGCTTAGTAGGAAATGCGGGGATGGGTTGTAGGGACTACTATAAGGGACCTTAAGGGACTATCACAGGGATCCATTCCCCCATTCCCTACTAAGCACCAGACAGAAGTTGATGGCTTGAGTTTAGGGTTTTACGGTTTATAGGGTTTTAGGGATTAGGGTTTAGTTTAGGGTTTAGGGTTTAGGGTCTAGCAACCCTTTACCCTTTACTACTGATCATGGGGGGAAATCCTGCAACATGCAGCCTGAAATTCTGGGATTTTCCTCATTATCGTTAATGCAGGATTTTGTCCCACATCATCCGCTGTATGACCATACCATGAAAGCATAAGATATCCTACTGAACCGGTTCGAGCTGTGGAAATCTCGATGAAAACTTAACATTATGAAACCGTGTGGCATTAAATAAGTGCGTCTCATTCAAGACGCACCTCGCATTCAAGCTAGCAGCGCGAGGAAATCCAACCGGTTCTACAGCACTGGAGCCCTGAGAAACCAAGTAGCTGGACCATCCAAAGAAGTATGACAGAAGCCCAAAAGTTGGAAACCCAATAGCCTCAATCCTTAACAGTTAATTGTCCTTAATCCGGTTTCCAACTTTTTTTGGGGTTAACTTTAAGGGAAGAAGGCGGTGCAAGGTTGGACATGTAGACATGCATGTAGGAAGAAATGAATGCTGCAACGCGCTACAAGCAGGCCTCAGAAACGCCATTGAGAAAAGGCATGCTCGACAACTGAGATAGCCGTCAGTCAACGATACAGATTTGGAGCAAACCCATAAGCCCAGAACCCAACCGTTACGGAGGCTCTGCAAACGTCCCGAAAGCCCCGCCCCAGTGAGCCAATGACCGCGACTATGAAACCAGGAAACAGACTCGGAAAACCACATCTAAACTCCGCAAGAAAAAGTTTAACCTACGGCAGCATAGAAAACCCTGTAAACCCCTCGCAGGACCCGCCAGTGGGGAGGCGTTTAAGCAAGCCTTAGCCTCAGATAATGCAGCCATGTTCTTTCCTTTATCGAACCCTTATAGACACCCTAAGGAGCCCTTGTAGCCTAAACCCTAAACCCTAAACCCTAAACCCCTAAACCTTTATACTCTAAAACCCTAAACCCCTAAACCCGAACCCCTGAACCCTAAACCCTAAACCCTTAAACACCTAAACCCCTAAACCCTAAACCCCTACACCCTAAACCCTAAACCCAACTCTTCTAGACCCATGCACAGCCCTTCCACTGGGGTTTTCATTCCGGTCTCCTAATGTAGGGGCCTTAATAATTTTAA